AGACTATGGAATGCTTTCTCAGAGAAAAGGCATCACAACTTTGTGCAATAGCAGACATTAAGACACAACAGGCACAGCACAATGACCTAATTGGTCTTTTCTACTTGCTGTGGTTTCAATCTCTTAGCAAATACTTTGATGCTGCTGGGACCAAAACAAATCACGCTTTTGATTTTAAGAACATAAAACTATCTTTCCATGAATGCAAGCACAAAGATAAAGAGTACAAATATAGCAAGATAAACTTTTAGTTGGGCACAGATACTCTTTCTTGTACATTCACAGCCTGCAACCTGGTAAAACCACAGGGGCCAGAAGAGTCAAAGCCATTCCTATAAGTGTTGTACCTCACTCTCCCCAAATCTGGTGAATATGGAAGGATGTTTGCACTAGGACCCACTGGTAACTCTGTAGTCAGAGCCATTGATTTCTCAGACATTGGATCTGAAGCGCAATTAGAGAGCTCAGAAAGAGATATTGCATCACAGACACCTTGTTTTTGAAGTACAGAGAAGAAAAAGTAGGGATAAGCACTGTAGGATGGCTGGACAGAGTTCAAATCCATTCTTGTGCATAGGCCCTCATCAATGACTCTACATCACAGTATTTGAGGTTGGTGTTTCATATACAGTATATAAATGTCAAGCGTCTTAGGAAATCTACTTATGCTAAGTGAATCACACCTGCAGCATTTCAATTTTAATCCAATTCTTTTTTGAGTGAAACTTTTCCTAATTTAAGAAAGCTGGATTTCGTAAGGAGTGCTCTTTGTAAACCCTCGAAGAGTACATAGGGTTTGAATATTCCAAACATCAGAAGCTGTTCAGAAGAGAGTTTGATCTGAAATAATCTCCAGCAGAGACCTAAAAGTAGCACATCATTTCTTTATGCTCTGAAAAAGCAGAAGATTAAAAAGTAAGCACAACAGGCCACTAGAGGAGCAGTTACGTATCATAAGGACACACAAAGGAGTCTACAAAATAGGAATGAAAAGTGATAGCAACAACACTTACTTGAACATTTAAGTTGTTCATACCATAATCAGCTATTTTTCAAGGCAGCCAACCTTTTAAGCTGCACTTAGTGACAAAAATGAAATAGAGACAAGGAATCAAGGACATCCCTAGACACAAAAACCCATGCACATACAAAAAGCAAAAGCAGTTCAAGGACAGGCAGCAAAACACAGGCCCCTGCAGAATAGAGAGCAGACTGTCTGGGATGCCAGGTGTCTGACTGTGAGACTATGGATTTGATTAGTTATGAGGAATTTATGGCACCAGTGCTGCTCCCTTGGGTTGCTCAACTAGGAATACGCCCAACAGAGACCCATGGCAGCATGAATATGTGGGTGACCAAGCTTCTCACACTTCATGACATTGGAGAGTAATAATATTCTATATAAGTGCATTTTCATGAATGCTTGCATGCATGTGGGTGAGCATTACATGACTGAATGACTGAGGAGGGGATAAAGTAACAAACTCATTATGTATATGTCTGTCCTGGTGCATAAATGTGAGCTGAGTGCATACAGATTGGTACATTCATCTATTTGAGAAGAGGTATTAGAGGCCTCCAAGGTTTCAGCCTTCACAGACAGGGAGTGGATATGTCTGCCATAAGGCAAGGCTGGAATAGCTGAACAGTAGCAAATGAAGGGATTTAAGACCTGCGTAGTTACAAAGGACATTAAAAGTCCAAGTCGTTGTTGTTCAGGTTGGCCTTAGGAATCATACCTGGACAGATCGTTTGGGGACATCTCAAAGCAGGCAGCTGCAAGACAGCATGACACGTGCACAGTTCATAGGCTATCCTCCAATCTTGCACTCATGACAGGATTTCCTTTGCCAGCATCGATGGGGGAAGTGAGGGTTAACCCTTGGACACAGCTACAGCAGGTAAACCTTTCCAAACCAGTTTATCCCAACTCCAGTATCTACACAATGCTCAATGCCCGTGAGATGCAAATATCTGGTTTATGATTAACTGTGTTAAAATTCCATGGAACTGCAAGTACTTTTATTTGTTTGTATAATGAAATTAAAACAGCGCACCCTTTCCTTACTAAACTTCAACTTTGCTAGCAGTTAAAAAGAAATATGAAACTTTCAGTAGATATACGTGCTATATCCTGGTATGCCCCGAGTTCAGCCTTTGTCCTTAGAGTTCTGCTGTATTAATCTTTGAAATGGGCTGTCCATGTCTGAAAGCTATAGTATAACCCAGACACCTTTCACTCTATGACTATCTCACTTTTCTAATGCTTAGATCTGGCAAATCATTTTGACATATAGCATGATCTCAGCTGAAAGTACACGTACATTCTTTTTGCTGAAGAAAGGCCCATTTTATTCAGGTATGTAGCTGTTTGGCCAGTAAGCACTGAAGAGCTGCATTGCCTTTTACCAACGAGGCTGATGGATCCCAGAAAATGACCATGTGAACAGAGTCACACGTAGTGCAGTGAGGCACACTGGCATGAAGCTGGTACTTCATCATCCCTGTACAGGGTTACAGCATTACACTGCATTACTCAGAATTAATTACTTGATTTATTTAAAAAGAAAAACCTTCTCCCAGGTTTCTCCCATGCCCTTTCTGAAATGGCTTTTAGCAGCTGGCATGGTGCATCTGTGGGAGGAAAGAATGAGAAAAATTGGAGTGACTTTAGTAGGACTCATTCTCATTCTGTGGCTTGCAAACTAGACTCAGTGACCCACAGCAACACTGCCCTGAATTTCAAAGGAGTGAGTCCCTCCTTGAGCTGCTCCCTTTTCTTCTAGTAAGCTAGCAAAAGCCTTGGAGCTGGAGTTGTGTTCTTCAGGAATCTCCACCACTGGTCTCATGCCCCGTAGCCAATCCTTCTACTGACACACAGTTTCAACAGGAAAACTCTACAAGTCTATTTTGCACAAAAATAAATCTATGTAAGTGCGAGGACACATTAACAGGCAGATGGAATCACACTAGTAGTGGGAACAGATCCTCCAAAAAGAGTGAACTGGTTGATTTAGCAGGCAGGTGGCCTCACCACGCATTTACACATGTACACATCACAGAAATGCCTCAAGAACATACCTCAGAGAAACACTTATGAAGCAGCCATATCCAGAAGAAAAAATTGACCTGGTCTTTATGGGGATTCCTGATGAGGAGATTACACAGTTGCAACAAAAATGAACTGGCTGTTCATTAGTACCAACTACATCACTTAGCTATTGGTCTTGATCTATTCAGAATGGTCATTGGCACAATGTGCTTACTTCTGAACACTTTTGAATGTGGACGAAAAGTTCACAACAAGCATGTTCTTGGATCATAACAGCTAGCATGGGAAATTTTGTTAACATGCTCCAAATTTACAAAAAGAGGAAAAAGAGCAAAGATGAGGAGAGAGGAGTGAAAAATGGGAAAATACTGGATTTTTTCAACTTACAGAGTGTATAAGAAGTGGTCATTTTCTGTATTTCTTTTCTACCACTGTACATTTGGTGTACAGTGTACAATAATTCAAGCTGGAATGGACCAGAGGAAGTCCTGCATCCAACCTCCTGCTGAAAGCAGCGTTGGCTAAGAGATCAGACCACACTGATACAGGTTCTAGGGTTCTGTTTAACCATCTAAATCAGTTCCTCGATCAATCAGGTATATTTCATGAATTGAAACCACTATGTAAGTTGTAGTGTCAAGCACTCATAAAGGTACTTCTTGTACCACTTCTTGGTGAGAGTATTCAGTCATTTATTATAATCTGGAAATAAGTTTATTCCAGTCATTTAACTCAGTTTTGCCCTGTTCACGTTCATCCAAGTGCTCCAGATGTAATCTGTCATATTCCTTTTGCAACACTACTTGGAGTTACTTTCATCTTCAAACTATATATCACATCCATACACACATCTCTAATAATGTGAAACTGAGGCATCTTGAAATCCAGTGCTATAAGGGTGCAAGTTCAAAGAAAGCAGCAAGCTATTCCTGTGCAATTGTGAATAGGAAAAAATAACAGAAGTGCATCCTCCTGAAAACAACAGTTAATGAACTGCTAAATATCACCTTTACCATTTTTTTTTTTTTCCACAAAACAGATTTGCATAGAACCAGCTCTGTTCCCAGCATCAGCACTCATCACTGAAAGATGCAAAGAAAAAGAAGCAGTACCGGAACTTTCAGGCACCGCAGCAGTATTGCTGTCCCAAGCATTCATCATCTTAAGACAAGAACATGACCGTAACGTGAGTTTCTAACAACTGTATTTCCAGAACTATTTTGGAACTTAATTCTTCAAGAAATGTATTTTGCTTACAAAAATAAAAGCTGTGGGATGTATGCGTTAGTGTCCTAACATAACATTTTTGGTCTGCAAGTTCCAGGTCAGGAATTTAATTCTCCTAGTTGATATTGAATTATTATTATTACAAACAGAATGAAAAAGATGAAGAGAAGGAGGGAGAAAGAGAGGGTGAGAGTCTAGCAGTCATCTGTTAGGCCTCCTTTGATGACAGTCTTATTTTGAGATGCAAGTTAAGAACCACAAAGTACATATAAAACAAAATACACTTGGAAAACATAATCCAGAATGGATTTAATTTAGATATGCAAATGAATATAAATACGTATGTATTATATACATACTATTTTGGCTAAAATAATCTAAATAGAAGTGACCATTTGCAGCATTCTGAAATGAACCCAAACTACACCACATGCTTTTGTTGAGATCCTACAGCCAATAGGAAGCTTCCAACTGATGCAAAGTTTTGCAAAAAGAAATTATTTGCTGTGCGCTTCTGACAGATCTCTAACACCTACGCTGTCAGACCTCAGAGTTCAACTTCATTGCTTTTTCAGATGTCCTCTTAACACGGAATCTTATCTTATTCACACGTGGGTTTCATGTCCTGATAGCATGGCAGCAGAGGAAGAACACTGTGCATACTACTCTCGCGATACACAGGTCAGCTCTGTGATTGGCAGAACCCTTGAGATCTGCCCTTTCCTATTTAAAATCAGCTCCTGCTCAATTCAGTGGCGTCTCTGCAAATAGCTACATCACTTCATATTTTCAAATTGTTTCAACTGAAAATTCTATAAAGCAGATGAGTTCCTCGGACAGAGCCATGCGAATAACAAATCTCTTACAAGGACGGACAATAAATCATGACTCTGGTGACTCACTGCCTGTATAGAGGATGGAAAATGAAAGGGTAAGTCCTTGAATAAGAACTGACTGAGATCTGAGTGAGACCAGTTACTGAGATAATTAGCCGATGGATGCGAGATGAAAGCCGAGGTCTTTTCATTTATACATTAATTAACCAGAAGATCAAAGACCTTGGCTAGGCCTATAACCACGACTGCAACGTTGGCTTGCTATGCAATAATGAACTCATTATTACCTGCTTTCATAAATTACCTGTGGTAGACTATTTTATTTTTAATACTGTACATAAAGCATAAAAACAACTACAATGTTATTTTTGAATATTTTAATTGCTAAGCATGCACTTTTGTGTAATGAGAGCATTCATCCCTTCACCTGATCACTGTTACCAGCTCAGTTCTCCTTTCCGTCAGGAAATTTCCTAACAGGTGACAAGTCTCTCTATTTCATGGAATCAAGGGGAAAGGAGTGACCAGAACACCAATACGGACCTGAAGTGGGATGCAACGGTAAAATAAAAAAATTCAAAAAATCTGATTATCTGTCTCAGAGGAAGGAAAACAGATCAGTGTGCTACAATTTCACAGGACCAAGAAAAGTAAATATTCTGATACTTCATGCTGTCATTTTATGCCACTATACTTCTGCCGTCATATCAGGAAAAAGTATGCATGGACCCACGATTGCAGACATGATTGTATGTGGTTGATCTTAGGGAAAATTTCTCTTGTCTACAGTCTTTCTGAAAGAGCGTAGGTGGGTCGCACGACAGTCATGTTTCAGGTCCAGACCTATAAAACACTGTCATTTCTGAGACTCTACAAATGTCTACAGTCTATATTTGAGAAAAGCTTATAAATACGCATCCAATAGAAAGTTTCAGATAAAATCCCAGTGAGTTGAGAAGGAAGTTGTGAATCAACAGTAAGACACGATGTGAAGAAAAGCTTTGTTGCAAATGGGCGAGTTGTGATGTGGGCATGTTAGTATATGCCCTCTTTTAAAGGGCATAGAAAAGAAAGGTATTTTATCTGTAGGCAAAGTTTCTGATGCAAAGAAGATACAATCACATTTATTTATGATCTGCTCAAAAGACCTCACACTGCTGGTGAGAAGTGTAAGTAGAAGAGATCGAGCCATCTGTTGCTACAGCAACATAAAGCAATTACTCATTGCTCTGGGACACAGGGTAAACCTGACATCGATTTTTGTTCTCTCCTCAATTCTTAACTTAATAATTTACCTTCAAGAGGGGGACATACTGATTCACAGCTCAGATGGAAATAAGGGTTGGTGAGGTCCCCACATTGAACCATTTATAAGTAAACTCTTTACACTTGGACATTACCCACAAGGTAACATTTTTCCCAGTGCTTCATTATTTTGAACTGGTCTACAAACTTTAGTCAACCCCCACATTTCTCACCAAGCATTCACCAAAGCTTTTGTTTCCAGCACAACTATTCATAATGCCTTATTCATCCTGTGACCTCAGTAACATGTTATGGTTGTTTTTCTCCGTAACTGGATGACTTGAAAACCCACAAAGATTCCTCAAGATGGCTGTAGGAACACTTCCACTGAAAGTACTTGAGCGTGTCAGAGCTTGTCATTGCAGAGGTGCAGCTGGATGGATGTTTATGGCTTGTCCCTATTTCACAAACACTATAGTAAACAAAATGTCAAGCCAAACACAAAGACTAGCAAGTACAATCCAGGGGTGTTATTAAAAAATACATTCCCAAAGCCCTTTGAATCACTCTTCCAGGTTCCCTTGAGAAAGGCACAGAGAGAAACTCATCACTCTTTCACTAATATTCAGGACTTGTGCAGTACAGTTTTGTTGGCTCTTCTTATGCCCTAGAGAGAAAAAGGGATGTGGCCGAAAGACCTTCAGCTAGAAGCATTTCCCCAGGAAACACTCACAGCCTCCGAGAAAGGTGCATCATCCACAGCAGTCTCAGCGGGTGCCGAGGGGTAGTGTCACTGCCAGCACCAACTCCTCCTCTGCCCTTGAAAGCCTTTCCTTGGGAATTCAGCAGTGGACGAAACCTTGCATTATTTTGGGGAATTAAACTGTGTGTTTGCTATGGCGTTCAGGGTGGAGAAAAGGGAGGAAACAAAGTGAAGGGGAAGGGAACAGGGGGGGAGGGAAGACTCCTCTAATACCCAGTATCCAGATCTGAATGCAGAGGGCATGTGCCAACAACTTCAAGACCGGCAGACAGCAATACCCCAGTGACCAATACTGCTCTGATCAGAACTGTGCTGGGAGCAGTGCCCATCTAAGCCATGCAACTGGCGGCTGTCTGGAAGCTTTGTTCTTGTTTTGTCACTTTGGCTCTGATAAAGTGAGTCACAGCAGTCCCTGGGTAACCTCTGGGAGGCAGTTTGCTCCTTGCTCCAAGGGCCCTGCCTCACCTCACCTGAGCTCTAGCTTTCATAGCTGAGATAGAAGTAAGACATCAGATCAACCTGCCACTCCCTTTGCCACTGCAAAGCTACCTTCACTGTATGAAGTGAGCAGTAACTTTTGGCCCATTAACTATTGCTGGGCTATTGCTGAAACTCAGAAGTCCAAAACAAGTGCAGAAGGCCTAGCCAGGTGGCTACCCCTCCCCTGCCCCAGTTAGCTAGTGCAGGGAGGAGGCAGGTTCTCTGTATCCCTCCCAAAACTTAATGCTATCTTTGCTTTTAGCTGACCACGCCTGAGATCAATAACAAGAAAGCTATTCCTTTCTTAGGTCGCAAAAGAAACTGTCACAGCAGCTTGCTGTCATTTTGTGTGCTAGCCTAGCTGGATCCGCCTACAGTTAAGATGTGTAAGGAAAGCAGAGAATCACAGAATCATAGGGATTTGGAAGGGACCACTGGAGACCACCCAGTCCAACTCCCAACTAAAGCAGGTTCCCTACAGTAGGTCACAGAGGAAAGTGTCCAGACGGGTTTTGAATATCTCCAGGGAAGGAGACACCACAGCCTTTCAGGGCAGCCTGTTCCAGTGCTCTGCCAGCCTCATAGTAAAAAAGTTTCTCACATTCAGATGGAACTTTCTGTGTTCTAGTTTGTGCCTATTACCCTAGGCTTGTCACCAGGCAGCACAGTTTCAAACAGTTAGCCTCTCTTGACAAGATAAAAAGAATTCTTTGCTGAATTAATTCTCCTGCACTCATAATTTATTAGCAATTTGCATTTCTGCATCATGAGTAAGCATTTCCCACAGCCCCACTGTCTCAGCCTCATCAGAATTCTGTTTCCAAATCAATTTTCACACTCCAGAGTATTGTTGGGTCACCTCCCAGAAATCATTCCCAGTGTGGGTTGAGCCAAGCAGCTCTGAATGGGAGAGAATGAAGCAATTTAGCCACAAGTACTCTGAAGTCTTTCCTCTTAGCTAGTGGATCAAATGAGTGCTTAAATCCTTCCAATAATTTTCCTTCATTTATAAAGGCATGCTATTTGCAAGGTAGCTGGAGAGAAGCTAACGAGAAGTCCATTCCAACAGCTTAGTTCTAATAGAAAGACAAACTTTTAGAGGTAGGAGAATACCAAACTTGTCTTTTCAATCCATACTAACAGGCTGATCTTGAACCACTGAAATTTCTGTCATTAATCCCTTAAGAATCCTTGGTACAAAGATGCAGTGGCTCTACCGGTATAGTAAGCGCTATGGGAATGTATTTATTTTTCTTTTTTCCCAAAGAATGGATTTGTAATTAAAATTATAGCACGCAGGCATTTAAATAGTAGTATCTGAAAACATAACATGAATTGATACATCTCTAAAGCTTCACAGGATATTAAGAACAGGTTAGCTTTCAAGATCCGTGCAACGGTCTGCCATTCCTGCACACAGACAATCTGTGAAGGAACTGCTTATAAAACACAACGGCTTTTCAAGGAAGAAAATAAACAGAAAAAAAGCCCCATAACTAAATTATGTTCCCACAGTGTTGTATAAATTATAAAAATGAGAGAAGATAGGATTTGGTTATGTATCATACAGTTGTTATAGTCATTTAGTCTCATGTTTTTCTTTCCCCTTCTGAATTTTAGTGTTGTTACAGAATGCCAAACCAGCACTGTAAAGGTGCAGTCTAAATCCCAGGCATACCTATTGAACATTGCCACTGACTCACTGTCTGCCTTGGGCAAGTGCCTGTTTTGCTTCATGAAGAGGTGAACAGAGGAATGACAATTCTCAGCCTCATGAAGTACTTTAAGAACTTCCAACAAAAAAGCCTAACTCCACAGCTACAATCTCTTACCTGCTTCCCTCCCAGCTTGGTCGTGCTAGCAAAGCAAAGCACATGAGTCCTTTAGGAAAGAGACTCTCCCTGCCCACCATCTATTTAAATAAAATGTTTGAACCCACACCCATCTCCTCCTGACACTGGGTTAATCATTGAGCCACTTAGCAGGTGCATCTCCTTAACACCCCCAATAATACACTTTTGCAGGTGGCTGGAGGTAGGCTGAAGTCTGATAGCAGTTAAATACATACATGGAGAGGGAGAAAGAGATAGAGGAAAAACTTCAGAGGAAAAATGTATTCTTTATTATTTCATGAGCTTTCTTCACATGAACTTGATGAAGAAGGAAGAGGCTGAGGGCTATGGAGAGCAGTAGGTGGGCTGTGGCTGGCTCTGTGGCCCCACCATGTTCTGGTGCCCTTGAGGCTTGTCAGGTGCCAGGGTCAGTCAGCTTCCTTGCAGATCTGACACTTTACTGCTCAGAGCAGTGTGACTCCATACATCTAATTGTGAGAGTGTGTCATGCGATGCCGTTAACTTTTTATAGTTTTTATAGCTTTTTAGAGAGATAGCAGTATCTTTACAACTTCCTTCGCTGGCTGTTTTTCTGGCACTAGATGGAAACAGAAGCTGCCAGAGCTCTGTCAGCTGCTCTGGGAAGCACAGGGCCAAGGCTATGGGCAGCATAAGGTCAGTGCTTCATCTCAGCAGATGGTGGAGCAGCCAGTGCCCACAGCACTGCTAAGACCAAGGCAGCAAGTGCTTTGGAGATCACAGGAAGGCAGACAATGTAAAATCAGATGGGTTTCCTGTGTGACTCAGCCTTTGTTTTTAATTTAGTATGTCATCCACTTGTTTACAGCGATCTAGACCTAGTCTGGAGAAACCAATAAGTGATTTCCAAAGAGCTAACGCATTCCATCACAGGTCACAATCCCATGCTTGATTCATACATCGTGACCTCTAACAGTCGTGCAGGTGTGTGGAAACACACCTCATTTCTCAGTTAGCTTGTCTCAGGCAGTGCTGTAAAGGTGAACACATACAGCAGTAAGAAAGGATTGGGAGGTATTGATGCAACGTGATCAAACTTGGTTACAATATTGCAGTTTCGCAATGAAGAATAAGGTTTTGAAGAAATTCCAGCCTCCAAATTTCCTGTAAGGCAGGCATGCACAGCTGCAGGTCGGACAGCAAAAGCAGAGCTAAAGGCAGTCACTAGCACAGTGCATCCAGGGAGACAGCAGTGCTAGAGA